GTATTCTGTAATGGCAGAGATTCCCCTAAGCAGAGGAAGTGGACTATGTAAGAAGCAGATCAAAGGTAGATTGGGGGGGGGCAGGGAGATAGCTCAGTAGAATAAGTGCAAATGCAAGGGCCTGAGTTCAATCCCTGGTTCTGCCAAAAAAAAAGGGGGGGGGATTGCTTGGTTTAAAATTACTTTCCTTCCAGGACTTCCTTATGATACTGGCTTAGGTAAATTGCCACTTTTCATGGATTGCTGTGACTTTCCTGTTATTTTGGGTTTTTTTAGTTGCCCTGTTTTAGAGGTCAGTTAGCTGACACCTAGTACCTAGTTCCAGATTCTATTCTGATTTGGTTTGGTTTGCTGAGGCCTAGTGCACAAGGTTGGTCCAACACAATGGCATAGCAATTGAATGTAATCTGCTTCTTGTTCTGTCTTTTTTACAAAGGGGAAAAAAACCTCAACTCCTTTCCAAAAGTCTTTCCAAACCGGTTCTTTACAGAATGCATTCTTTGACCTTTGTACCCAAGACCCTGGCTTTTGAATTCTGTCATCTTAGAGCTGTCCCACACCCAGCCCAACCCAAGTCAATTCATTCTCTTGATTGCTTTAACCAAGTGCAACCCACCAGAGTCCTCAGAATCATCCAGTCTAGGTGTCTTCCCCCAAGGATCCGGACTACCATTTGTGCCGCATTGCCTATGAATTGGCATTTGTACTCCTGTCACCTCAAAGATAGGAGCCAGTCTTTCTGCAGCAGAATTCGGACATCACGTTTAACAGCAGGGAAGCCAGGAGCCATTGGATAGACAGCAGGAGTCCTGTGTAGAGAGCTCCAGCCACATCAGCTTTCCAATCTTGCATTTTGCCACTTGGGTGCTCTGTGGCTTAATGTGTGAGGCTCTTTGGGTGACAGAAAACTTCAACCTATGTGCTGCTGGGCGCACAGTCTTGGACAAGCTGGGGCCTGCCCTAGAACCCTATGGGGTGTGCTCCCGTCCCACTTCATGAACTGTGTGCCGTGTTGGCAAAGGGCGCTGTCTTTCCCACCTCCAGAGCCTGCTTCTGGGAGAAAGTTTAGTGGGCACCGACTTAATGTGGGCAACAGAGCAAGACCCAGGGCAGGCTGTCTGTTGAGCAAGCAGGCTGTCTGTAAAGAATCTGCGTCTGCTGTTGTACTTGCAAATTATGTCATCCCACATGGGGGGGGGAATGCTAAAAGAAACACACTCTAAACCGCTATCTGGGGTCTAGATGGTCCCTTCGTCTCCTTCAGGATTTGTCTGAAGCCAGACCTGTCTCCCACAACCAATTTACACCTCTTATCTGATCACCAGTCCCGACGCAAGGCTGAATTGACGAGTCAGTCCGTGTCCATGGCAATGGTATTACAGCCCAGCACAGATCAAAGGAAGATGCTTACAGGGTCTAGGTTCCTTCGGGCCCGAGTGGTAGGTACATTAGCGTTGTTAGTAGTCACCATCTGAAGAACCCATTGTCAGACCCCAGTGATTTCCTGGTTAAAAAAAAAAAAAAAAACTACATCCCCCCCAACCTCCCAAGCACCCCCTGTGTGCAGATCCTGACTACCTGGTGAAGACTAGTCTCAGGCCGTAGCTGTCAAGGACTGGCTAGCGCCAGAGGGCTCTCTTGGTCTCAAAATGAAAGCAAGGGGGGGAGGGGGGCTGGGCAGCGTGCAAGCGCCAACACCGGAGCATCGAGCCCCTACCCGTGCTGAGGAAATTCTGCCGCAGCCACAGAAGCTGCGGCACAGATGGGCCGGATCCCTTAAACTTGGTCGGCAACAAATCTGATTTCCAACCCCCCACCATGCCTAGAGGGGATGTTATTCCCAGAGGAGAGACGATCCATTCTAATGCCCCTGCTTCATCTGGCCAGTAGAATTCTCCGGCCCCCCACCCAGCCGCCCGGCGCCTGGGACCTGGAGGGAAAGACTGGGACGCAGCCACCCGCGGCGGGGGCGGGGCGCCCTTTAAAAACTGAGCACCTCTCCCCCACTAACTTGTGTTGATATTCAGAAGAAATCAATCAATGAAAATGAAGCATAGGCAGTAAATGCTGTTTCTTTCTCCTGCGCGGAAAAACAAGGGGAGGGGGGTGGGGGGGGCGGAGACTGAGGCTCGGGCCGCAGAGGCACAAAACTTCCCGGCCTGCGCCAACGAGGAGGAAACGCCGCAGGCTTCCTCCCGGGGGTGTCCTCAGCCGGGAGGAGGAGGGGACGGGCCGACTTGGCAGAGGAGAGAGCCTCAGTTTTGCTTTCGCTGGGAATATTTTTGCCTAATAGAATGTTTATGGATTGCTCAGCTCTGTTTCTGCTGCGTAGCCCAAACAAATCGATGCGGCGTTAGAGACGGCTGGGGGTGGGGTGGGAGTCCGGGCCGGGCCCGCGTCCCCACCACGTGGAGGTTGCGCGGCTTGCTCTTCACCTGCTCTGCGCGCGGGCGCTCGGTGCGCGCAGCTTCCCGAGCTCGGCCAAGTAGCGCGTGTTCCGGCGGCGCAGCCCAGCTCCTTCCCGCCCCTCTCCGCCCTCGGCTCTGAAATCCCAACCCAGCTTCCCGCCGCCTATCTCGGCAGGCACTGAGATCTTCAGCCGCCGGCAGCAAACCCTCAACGCCGGCCCTCCCGAGACTGCGGCGAGCTAGCTACGCACAGCGGAGCATGGAGCAGCAGGGAGCGCCCAGAGCGGGGCCCACAACCTCCCCGAGTCCTCGAGCCCTAGGGCCGGCGCCCAAGCAAACAGAGGGGGTACCCTGCGCGCGGCGCCGACGCGACTTCCTAGCCGCCCGCCGCTCCTTCGGTCGCGTGCCAGGACTCCGCATTATTTCCGCAATTGCTCTCCTGCGCGCACCTTTCTCCCTCTTTCCCCAGATTCTTTCTTGGAATGGGTCCTCCCGCCTCTGAGGCGGCTGGGCTGGCGCACACGGGTGAGTCAGAGATCTACCGTGGCCTCGCCCTTTGCCACCCATAGCTAGATCCCTGGGTGTCAGTCGGTTGCTCTGGCTGAAAGTCTGAACAGTCCTTGGCCTGGGATCACCCCGGGGGAGCTGAAAGTATTTACTCTGGCTAAGAGGTCCCAACCCCAGGTGCCACCCTGAAGTTGCGCCTGGCCTCCTACTGGGTGATCTGCCTCGCACAGCGTGCTCCAAGCCTCTCTGGAAATGACGCAGCGCGGCCAGGGGTTGCGAGGGGAGGGGGCTGGCTCTGCAGAGCGCGGGAGGCAGGTGGCAGAGCAGGAGTAGGTCCGAGCGGGTGTCGCGCGCGCACACACACGCATTCCACACACTGCTCAGGGACAGATGTGTGAACATCTGGGGTTGGAGCTGTCCCGGAGTATTCACCGTCGCTCCCGCTCTGCTCAGCACACACAACCTGAAGTTGGTGTATGGGGGGGGGGTTGGCATGTGGATGTGTGGTGTGTACCAGTGTGCGCGCACTCGTGCGCCAGGGCCTACTGGAGTCCGCGCCTGGATAATACCACCATGGGCATTCTCACGGCGCGCGTTCCCGCGCGCCCACACCCTGAGCAAATCTCACAAACATACATAATTTAGGCAGCATCCAGGTCTGTGAGAGGTAATTTAATTTCTCTTCGGGCCAGGAATTTAGAATTAAGGCAAGATAGAATGGGAAGCCCAGAAAAATCTAAGAGGGACCTGTACACATCCCCTTAGATATGATTTGCAGCTGTTGTTACGGCCGGGAAGGAGATGGGAAGGGCTGGATTTGGGTGGCAAAGGCATTCATCAGTTTTCCTCCTCGGAGAAAACCGGAACCCAAATGCCCCAGCTTAAAGGGGCTGTGCATGTGCTTGGGGAAGAGATGGGGAGCAGCTTGCAGGAGACCCTTAAGGACTTGTACCCTTCTGGGGTGTTCAGAAGGTTGCCAGGAGTTAGCCCTATTGCTGAGGGCATCCTCTTTGAATTGGTCTGGGGCAAGGGCACTTATTTTCTCTCTATTCTTGCCCTATTTCCTCCAAAGATGACTTCCAGTCCCCAATCACCTGTGGCACTAAGAGTTTTGTTGTAAGATTTCAGGCACTGCTCTTAGAGAGGAAAGGCTCACCCAGGTCAGGGACCCAGGAATGAAGAACCAGCCCTATGGATCCCCTGAAACTAGAGACACCTTTCCTGGGAGTGGACCCCTTGCCACTCCCCACAAATGCTGGGTCCTCACCGTTCTGAGCCTCACAGTGCTTATCTCCATAAGGGCCATACACCCTTCTTGGCAGGTGTTGAGAACACATTCCACTCAAAAGTTTCTAACCACTTCACAGGAACAAGAGCCCTTCCAGGGCCCTGCCATTTGTTTCATCTAACAATAATCTTTAAAGAACATATGATCTACTTTCCCAGAAAACACTGATGCAGGAAGGAGGCAGGGACCACCAAGCTCCTTGGTCACCAGCTGCACCCAGTAGAGGCCCCTATCTCAGGGAAAGCCAACTTTGCTCCAGCAGCCTGGGCACTGTGAGTTCCAGGCATGTATCCATCCATTCTGAAAAGAAATCTACAGCATCTGAAAACAAAACTACTCTTGCTTTCCCAAGCCTTTCAGTTAACATTGCTCAATATAGTTAAGAGGAGGGAATGCGAATGATTTATATTTCACTGGCTAGGTTGAAGAAACTCAAGGGAGATGTGTTCTGCTTCAAGACAGGGAGAAAAAAATCCCCAAAAACTGTAATGCAAAGGCTTTGTAGTATTTTTAAACCTTTGATTCAGTCCATATGTGACATCTGAACACCGCCAAATTCTGTTACAATACACACACACACACACACACACACACACACACGCAAGCCTGTAGCAGGAGAGAAAAGTTGGGTTTTAGCAGCCCTGTGTACAAGGAGGCCCGGCTGGGCTCTCGCTTTAAATTATTGAGTATTGAGGAGCCTCCTCCTGAGCCATTCTGTGAGGTCTCTCCACATTTGCAGGCGCTTTTAAAGGGGGAACCATGTTAGAATGAACGGAAAAAAACTTTGAGGGGCTTACCTGGTTGGCCTCTCACTTCGGGTCCTAAGAAGCAGAGAGCTAGGAAAACCCAGGTGAGAGGAAACAGATCCATTTTGGAGAAGGAAGGTTTCTCCAGAGCTGGGCTTGTAAGATTCTTGTACAATTATATCTTTGTGGGTTTTTCTTTTTTCTTTTCTTTCTTTCTTTCTTTCTTTCTTTTTTTTTTTTTTTTTTTTTTTTTTTTTTTTTTTTTTTTGTCTCTCTTATTTTCTGCCTGGCAGTGTCTTCTGTAGAGGTCTCTTAACGGTCAGGTCAGCGTTTCCCTCTGGGGTCCTGGCGACCCGTCTTCACCTTTATTCTTGCTGAAATTCCCACCTCACTCGGAGGGTAGCTCTTGAAATCAGCCAACAAGGTTAGAAAGGGTTTTCTCTCATAAAAACAAAACGCATGTACGCTCTCTCCAGTTCCTCAAAGTGTCATTTCCTTTATCTTACAACATCTCGAGTATTTCCCGAAAGCCAAGTGTGAAATAATGATAATAAAAATCAAAGCCAAGACTTGCCTTGGGCATCACCCGGCCCCCAGGAAGCTGTGCGATCTCAGAAGCGTAAACTGATACCCGCGCCCGGGCACCCGAATCGGACCGACGGGCGGAGGCACCGATGGCCGGACAGCCCGAATGGGAGGCGGTCGACGGCTCCCGTCCTCGCTGGGTTCCCCTAGCGGGAGCCTCTCCCAAGGCTACACCCGCTCGGCCAGCCTCTCGAGGGGAGTCTGCGGAAGGAAGCTGCTGCGGAGGCTGCTAGCGTTGGCTGCCGGAGCGGCGGCCGTGCCGGGATTGCCCGGGAGAGCGCACTCCACTCTGAGCCGGCAGGCGCCCGCCCTCACCTCCACCTCGCCGAGGGGCTGCGCATCTGAGGATGTGCCGGGGGTAGGCTACGGGCCGGTGCCTCGCTCGCCTTCACTGCCTCCCCTCTGTCTCCCCCCTGCCTTTTCAGGCAGAGCAGCATGTGGATGTCAGAGCCGCGGCAGAGCTATCCGATTACGCGCCGGCTCAGGACCCGCCCCTTCTGTGTTCGCGATTAAAGAGGCAGCCGCGGAGACGCGCGGCGCAGAGCCGAGAACCGCGGCACCCAGCTCTTCCTGGGTAGGGGCAATTTCCCCCGCAGCCGCCGGATCTAAGTGAAGGCAGCTCGCACCCCACCGCACCTTTCCCTGGTCACCTTCCGCACACCTCTGTGGTTGGCCGCCGGTGCCTCTCGCTCCCGGGTACCTTCAGGGCACTCTGCCCTTGGCCACGTCGCCCTCCCTGTAGGGAAACTGAGCGGAACCGGTGACAGACCTCGTCCCCCTTCCGTTCCCTGGCTCGGATGCCACACACACAGAAAACAGCACAATACCACGCTCAATGGCGCTACACGAGGAGTTGGGTGGTGCACCGTGTTTGCGGCAGGAGTCTGCCGGCAGCTCAGCCATGTGTTCGCGCAGGCAGCAGTGCGCGGCGGCGACACACACTGTCAGCCCGCGCTGAATAGAACCCAAACACCCCTTGTGATTCCTCCTCAGATCCTTTGTTTTGTCCCAAACAGACTCCCCTGCTCTCTGGCTCAGGACTTAGTTATCCATGCCCCTTTAGCTTGCAGCCAGAAGACAAGACTTTTCAGTAAAGAACTTCAGGTAATTAGAGTAGACCCTTCCTTTTCCCCAAAGTTCAGGTGCATGAAGCTTCTCCTCAAATTATTACTGTAGTTCTCTGTTCACCTTCCCCCCCACTGTGGTCACATGCAGAGAGAAAGGCAACAGCAGCATACCCACTCCTGTAAGTGGAGCCCTGAGACTGTTTGCAGAGGGCTGTGAACACTCCCCTCTTTATGAGGATGACTTGTTAGATTCCAAAGGTCTGCTTCGTTGGGCACCTATTACAACTCCATTATAAAGACCAACAGAACTGCCTAAATAACACTCCAAATACCTTTTCTGCCAGTCTGCTGAGGCAGAAAAAGTTTGGGTGGCAAGAAGCACATACCTCTGTCTAATGTGTTTTGGTCTTTGCTTGTACTTGTGGATTCTTCTGGGTGGTTTCCCTCCTTATCTGGACTTGCCACATTAGCTTTGTTTATCACTTTTAGTGTTTGAAAAACCTGTAACTCCCACTTACATGTTATTTACACTGAGATAACCAGAACAAAATTGAATCAGAAGTGATTTGCAACCAGTTGAGCCAAGCCATTGAGGGATTTCACAGTGGAAACTCTCAGGCTGATTATCATACTTCAGTCTTAGATGTTGGCTACCAAGCGCAGGTACCAGAGGCCTCCTGAGTTCTCCTAGGGAGTATGCCTCCATCCCAGCAAGGCCACCTTTTATTCCATGTTCTCCTTCCACACCCCCCCTCAAATTCTTCCTTCTCTTCCTTTCTCCCTCCTTTCTTTTCTTGGCTTGAGAACTTATCCACATTACTAAACACTTCATATTTACATTTTCTCTAGTTAAAGTTCAATTATAAAGAATCACTCCTGTCCCCAAATATTTGATGAAGAGGCAGTCTGGATTTTGAATCTTAAGCAAAGAGCCCTGCTTATAGTCAGTGCTAAGATGCCAATCTGAAGACAAATAATACTATCTGCAGTGACAGGCCTTGAACAGAAAGGGTCATTTGGTCATTCAGTGTCATCTCCCCCACTACTCCCAGGTATGCTAAATCATTCCAGCAAGTGCCTAAGGTGGGAGAATCCAGCGTTGGAGAAAACTAAAGCCACGGTTTAGGTGCAGGGCACAGTGAAAAGAGAAAGAAGAAAAGGAAACAGAAACCAGGGCAACTCTGGCCATCTTGCTTTGGGGTCTCAGGGTTGAGGGTTCCCATTAGGCTACTCCCAGGGTCCTTGGTCCAGGAAGGGCAAGGTCAGGGAGGATCTGTTCAGTATCCTCTTCCTGGACCCAGTTCTCAGCATTAAGTATTCATTCGTTTTAAGAGATGTCCTACAGGGAGAGCTACCTCACTAACTTACTCCCTGGAAGGCTCTGCATTACTGCTACAGAACTTCTCCCCAGTCTATTTGCTGAGGCCTCATTTCCTGCAGCTGGGTGGGGAACAACCTTAGGTGCAGAGTCCTAGGGACTCCAAGCAGCGAGAGCATTTTCCAGTCCTCTAGGGGGCAGCACTAAATAAATAATGCCAACTCGATTTATGGTCATCCTGGTGGTGCTTTTGCCTTCCACAGCTAAAAGTACTACATCAGATCATGGGAACTAGCTGGCTTTCCCCTAGGCCACTCTGAGCACCATTCCATAGGTCCAGGGAGGGCTTAGAATTGCTTTATTCCAGGACTTCCAAGAACTCTTGGGAATGAGGGACAAATTCTACATGTGCCACGTGGAAAATGAATCTTTAGGGAAATTCTTCAGCCTGGGACTGGCTTGGACCTGCTAGCCTTGTTTTGTCTAAACTGGAATCTCAGAGGTTTGGCTGTGTGTGTATTTGCTCCACCAGAGGAGCAGGAGTGTGGAGCCAGCTTCCACACTTTTTTGTAGGGTGGGACTCCCTATTTTTGACCTTAGTTAAGAAAAGCCTGGCTTCTATCAGGCTAGTCTTAGCCCCAGAAATAGTAGGCTTACTCACTGAAACACAGAACTGGCTAAAAAACAGCTAGCCATCAAAGCTGGTATTCCTGACCATGCTACTCACCCAGGATATTCCTTCATGGTGAAATAGTAATAGACAATCCCATACCACATTCCATTCCGTTGATGGGAAGAGATGCAGGGGAACATGAAAGAGATTTGTAAATGATGATGAGAGAAAGCTGTGACTCAGCCACACCCCAGAAGAAAGGTGGGTGTTCCTGGCTAGATCATCCCAAATCTAGTGGTGCATTAGGAACCTAGAGCAAATGCCAAAATTTCAGATCCCAGGGTACCGATCTCTTAGAGCTTAGTTCTTTAGGTCTGTAGTAGTACCTGGGAATCTGTATTTTTAAACACACATTTCAGGCTATTGTGATATGAAGCCTCACTGGCCAGCAATTGACCTGGACCTTTGCGTAATAATTCTGATATTTACCCACAGTTTCCAATATGTGCTTTTGTTGGAAGACATCTGGATAAATGTAACTTTACATTTCCTCTCTATATACTTTTCAGATGTGGGCAGAGTGTTTGTGGGAAAAACTACCAAAAACATGTTCTTAAAATGCCAGAGTAGGAGCATTCCCAGCCTTACCTTGTGACATTCAGTAGCTACAACAGCTCAGATCTTGTTTGAAAACCCTCCTGCTGGGGACAGAAAGTTCACAGGAACGTGTTCAAAAGGCCAGTGAATGAGATATATGGAGCAGCATCTGGCCCTACCCCTCCTCCCCATCACAGTAAATCTCTGAAGCTTGATTCAGGTACAGCTTGGCTTCTCCTCTGTGTGTATCACTATCAGATGCTCATGGATGCATGACCATGCAGGAGGTATGAAAGCAAGACAGACACGGAGGTCCTGCCTGCTGGGAACATGGGATCTGAGGGCTCTAGAAGATTCAGATTCCACAGTAGATGCTGTCTATCACATGGTGCTTCCCTTATTTCAGCTCTCATATTGGCAAGCTCTCACCCCTGAAAGCGGCAGATAGGAGGCATAATGGCATCTTAATCTGTAATTTACCACCCTGCCCTTGTTAGTGTTTAGCTACATCTGTCTCAGATGTAAAGTGTCAGTTAAAATGTAATTGGTCCTTGGTTTTTATTCTCTCTCTTGTTTGACATTGAAGTCCAGGCTTTCTGGTCAATAGGGCTTTATTATTATTATTATTTTTTTTTTTTTTATCTCTCCACTCACTTTGAAAACAATCAACATTTTTTTTCAGTGTTCTTGGACACATTCTAGTAGTTTCTATTTGATATCATTCTGAGGTAGGTCCTCAGAATATTTGCAGATGTCCATTAAGTACTAAAATCTTCACTCCAAACCTTGTGTGTATTTGTTCTCTTCCTCAGATATGGACATCAGGTCTGGCAGGGGGATACATTATGAATGAAACCAAAGAAAGAAAGAAAAAAATAGCAAAGGGGCCAGGAGACAGCTCAGCGACATAAGCATCCACCTAGTAAGCACAAGGTCCTGAGTTTGATTTCTGATACAAAAAAAGCAAAAATGCAGCAGCAACACAAACAAATGCAAGCATGCCTAGAATTCTTGGCAAAGAGAACTAAAGAAGCCATATCGCTCCCTCCATTCTGATTTCCTTTAGCAAGGAGCAGGTCTCCCTCTGCTACATGGATGAGTTTTTATACTTTTGAAACTTTAGAGTACAGAAAAGACCCAGTCAGGAGGGTCAGCCGTTTCTTGGAGCAGCACTCTCCGGAACTGCCCAGCACTCTTCCTGCAATGATGGAGGTACCTGTGCCTTTAGAGGTGACTACTTGACACTTAAAGTGTGGCTCACAGCTGGCCTGATAGCTCAGCGGACTAAAGTACCTGCTTAGGCAGAGCACAGCAGCCAGGACTGATTCTCGGCGTGCCGTGCCGGCCCTGACACTGGGGCCCACTGAGCCAGTGACTGAGACTAAGCATGGTGGTGCGGGCCTGTAATCCCAGCACATGGGAGGCTGGAAACAGGAGAATCACTACGAGTCTGATCTACACAGTGATATCCTGTACACCCTGTAATACAGAAAATAAATAAATAAATAAAAATGTAACTTGTGTGATTGGTTTAGGTTTCATTAAATTTTATTAACTTAAGTTGTGCTTTGCCAGTTGCCATGTTGGACAAACCAGTTTTTGAATAACAGACCACAGCTGGATATTTCCTACAGAGATCTTTAGAGACCTACATTCTTACAATGCTGAAGATACCAAGAAGAGAACCCTAATATCTGCGGAAGCTCTGACTGCCAACACGTCCTCTGTAGAAATGCTGGTGCCTGTTTGGCTACAGAAGAGAAGGCATAGCTCATCACTGTATCCCTCCTCTGCTCTCTTGCATGGCTTTTATAGACATTCACAGGGAATCAGGGCATTCAGGTTCCTGGCCACAGGGCCAGGAAGTAATG